TGCTAAACTATGGAAATGAACAGTCAACTTGTTATCATACTTACTATGCCTAAGTACCTCAATTGGTGGAAATTTTCAACAAAAATGAGATAACTCCTGTACAATAAGCCCAATACTAATAACATCCATTTATAAAAATATATGTACCTTTATTGATACATCTGTATGTTAATTTCCTCATGCTTTATTTATGATTATATCTCAACTATCTTTAATTTAATCATGTTCTTTATGTATAACATACTACAAGTTCAACAGAATCTCATAACTTATAATACAGGATAAGAGCATTTTCAAGTTTACTCTTGTTTGTTCTAATAAACGTGCAAGGGCAATATTTCTCAAGTTTTAATAACTACTAGGTGTAAGAAAAAAGACAAGAAAACAAAATAATCGAATTAAATTTTTGAAGAAAGTATTAACTCCTACTTTTGGTGACCAGGAAAACATCAACGAGTACAGGAAAATTGGAGTCAGGGTATAGGATATGAAAAATAAAGGTTGTAGGTGGCTAAATGCTTCAAGTAAGTGAGATCAATAAATACTTTTAAGAAATTACCCAATGGGAAGTTAAAAAAAAGTAAAAAACTAGAGTTACTTTTATCCAATAGTATTCACAAAATTAATATATACCTATCATGACATTTACTAATAGTCATTAGTATAGCAATAAAACGATCCAAATAAAACAAGAAAAATGTTTCTTTTTAATTCGTCCTAACTGACTAACGACTTTAGTATTTTTCCTGACAAAGTGACGCTAAAGCATTTACAAAAAAACCTCGACTGGTTATTATTTTTAGGAATATTTGTATTAATTTTGCTTCCAACCCTTTTCGACAATGCAATATTGAATATAGTAGCATTCATCGAGGGATGTGTGCGCAGTACCGCATTGCACCTGTATCACGTACCTGAGAGAATGTCTCTCGGATAGGTAAAGTTTTAATTGTATACATTTCTACGAACTGCCGGATTCAATTCATATTGACACTGAGCACAGATTTAAATGTACAAGTAACTGTTAGTTCATCTAAAACATTGGGCTTTGAAGTTTTAATAGTTTAATTGGAAACTGTTTGTCGATGCGGAATTATTGTGTATTCCTAACAAAGATAATTGCGGTTGCATTGATTACCATCTAATCATTATTGGTTCTGTTATATTTCAGATAGAGAATCTGGGAAATTCGTAGTCTGGAACAGGGATGGATAACCTTATTGTTATTAAGAAATCTAAGAAATTTTTTGACAATTTTATATAGGTTAATTTTATAAGGTTAGCAACCAAAATTATTGAATGTTTTTCCAAGCAATTTGTAGTTATAAAGAAATTGTACAAAATTATGAGAAACCACAAAAGAATATATTACGAATATAATGACCTAGGAGACATGATAAGCTTCTGAATTTGTATTTCCATTTGATCCAATCGTGTTTCCCATTCCTATATCAAAAAGCCAACATTCGATGTTCGACGTTCGCCAAAGAAACATTATCGCAAACCTCGTTCGATAACAGTAGTGTATTTAAATGCTCCTCAATCAAACAAGCCGAATTGTAATGTTCAAATGCTTTTGCTATTACTGTGTATATACACAACGCTCCACAGAATCGAATT